AAAGTGTGGATAAAAAATTAACTTGTGCTTTTCATGCATTTTTAATAGCCGACCGCCTCGTCTGTCAGACAAACCGCTGACCGCACACACGCACACGCACACAGTACTCTCACACATACGCAGAGATAAATAGTGTGTGTGTGTGCGCAAGAGAGATAGCGATAGTGTGAGAATCTGGCAGCGTTTCAGCCTTTCGGCGACACTTGGCGCGTTCAGCTATGATTTGTGGCATATTTATGTAAATTTGTGGTTTTTTCTGTTAAACATCCTCCAAGCCGCAGACCAGAAAGCAAAATAAAAGTGAATCTATACGAATATGTATGTATGCACATACATATACATAAATTTAAGAAGGAGAGAGAGAACGAGTGAACGGAAACCGGAAGCATTTAAGCTTTCAACTAAGCAGCAGGTGCTGCGGCCGAGCAATTAATGAGAGCCTGGTTTATTATTATGAGCGGCCAGACAAGGAATTTCACATAGTGCTCTATTTGAGGAGGATTTTGGCATTTGATATTTATAGCCAACGGCATTTAGCTCATTTAGCCTTAAATAGTTCTCCTCTGCAAACCTTTTATAGATTTATTGAAAGTGTGGAATTTATGTTTGTTTTTTGATTATTATGTCTGGTAACTTACATTTGAGCTTTCACAGGAATTTATCACTTATTTTAAAAATCTAAAACATTTTTTGTAAATTATAATTAAATGTTAAAAAAATTCTTTTTATATATATATTTTTTTTCAATAATATAATAAATGTATTTTTTTTTTATTTAATGATATTTTTATTTATAATAAATTTATGTTTTTTTTTTTATATTTTATTCAATATTTTTAATTGTGTATAATTGCAGTTAATGGTATTAAAATCGCTAAAAATTTATAGATAGTAATATTAGCAATGACTTCCACTTTTCATTAGTGTCTATAGATCTATTCCATTATACAAGTCTTTTTCAATGCTTAACAATAAATTTAATGTTTCTATGGCAATAATACAAAATCATTAATTTAAAATTCTTGCCATGTTTATCTTAAAAACATTGGAATTAAAAATTCTAAATCTTTGTTTTTGATTGTGAAAAATATTTCTGTGCCTTTATTTGTTCTGATAAGAACGTGAGCTACTCTGAATTAGAAAATACTTATATATATACTTATAATATATAATATAATACTTATATACTCCCTGCATTTCAATTCAAAAGAAAATCAGTTTCCTGCTACTTAGGATAAATGACTAATCAAAAGTTTATCGTTTAGTAGAGCACTTACTACCTGGCTTATTGGTCAGAAATCATTTGCTACACGTGTCTAATCAATTTGTAGCGTGTCACCTGCCTCCCCTCTATGTGCCACTGGCTACATTTTTGGAAACAAAGACTGGGCAACAAAAGGCTTGACCACACGGACACGCACACTCACACATACACACACACACACACACACATTCACGCAATAGCTAGGAGTTTGCGTTGACAATTTCGTTGATGCGCTGTCGGCCTCTTCATCTGTCCAGCTATCCTTTGGTCCTTTGGCCCTCTGTCCCTGTGGGTGGCTGGCTGGCAGCTCGTACTGCTTCTGGTGCCCCGCTGCCATTGAGGACAGGTGTGCATGATTTATGACATTTACATATCAGCGCACTGATGAAGCGCGTTGATGCGCTGACAACGACAGATGCTCGAGGACTCGTCTCACACACACACACACATATATACATACATATATGTACATATGTGTATACATGTGTCCAGCCGGAAAACTGGCAAGAGCAAGTGATTTGCAAATTTGTGCACTGATTGAATGATATATTACGCTTGTCTTCAGCTAGATGGAGTAATACGTACTCTGTTTTCATCTAGAAAGTTGCGGCTCTTGAGTCTACAAACTTTTCGATATGAATATAGAATGAGCCGAAGTTTATGAAACTTTTAACGTGCTGGTATATAAAAAGTTACATAGTTTAAGAAATGACTTAATACATCATTCATTGGTTTTTATGTCAAGCATCGCATCTCTATGTGATTCGTGGGAATATGACTACAAGTTAAGCAATCTGTTAAGCACGTACTTATGGGGTTATTAAGAATATTTCTTATATACTTTGATTATTTTATTTATAATTCTATTATGTACTGCTCGCTTTCACTTTCACTCTATTTTTTTTAGATCTCTGACCGGTTTTTTCTACTATTCCCTATTTTTCTTTCTCCAATTTTCGTCGCTTATCTAATCTAGCTTTTAGTTCTCTTTCTATATAAGCTACTCTAGCTCTTTATTTTCTTCTGCTCATCTTTCTCCTTCCTTCTTCTGTATCCTTCTCTGTCTTCCTTCTGCTTCTATTTCTCTTTATCCTTGGTTTTTATTCAATCATGTTTCATTAATTCATCTTCTCTCTCTATCTTCTATGTTTTATTTTTGTCTATGTCTCTTGCCATCCATCTCCGACTTTCGTTCTCTATCTTTCGCTTTTATATTCGAATCTGAAAGTTTTCAAACTTAGCATTCAATTTTGGATGGTATGAAGTCATAAAAGAAAATTACAGTATCTTTCGATTCGCTTCATTTATGTATATTTATACATATATCTTTATATTAACTGTAATTTGCTGACGTAAATCGTTGATTAGGTCTCAGATCGCTTACAAATTACTTCATAAATATACGGTATATAATACCTCCATTCCCGATGCTTTCAATGTCCGTCTGTCTGTCTGTCTGCATGTCTGTTTGTTGTCCTTTTGCCTGGCAGACGACAGCTCTCAAATTCAGCCGACTATGGCAACACATGTGCCTGATATCTGCTGCCATCGAGGCAGCAACCTCTAAGCCTTGGCTAATTGTTGTATGCGCCCATCACAAACACTGAACAGCAGCGTTGACAGCAACAATGAACACAAACACAACAGCAGCAGCAACAACAACTGCAACAACAAAAGCAACAGCAAATGCGAAGGACATGCAAATAAATGACTGCAAGAGCCATGTCACTACCATAAAAATAAAACATGTTTCTGTTAGCCAAGGCTTATAAGCTACCAAATGGGCTTAAAGACAAAAAAAAAAAATTTAAATAAACAAATTTTTTTATATACCATAATGTAATTATACCATAAACAACTCTTGAATAAAAGTAATGCTATAGAGGACAAGTCACTGCATCATACTCGTTCGTAAGATACCCCTAATAGGTGGTACTTTTATTATACATAGGTTTTAAATAGGGCTATCTATTCGGAGTAGCTTGACAGTCATACATCGTGATATATAATATTTAGTTAATCTTAAAACTCTGAAGTGTTTTGAATTTATACAGACTGACAGCGAGAAACCAATATACTCTTTTTCATATTGTGAGCCTGTATAAGTATTGAGTTCACTCCTTCAGCTCTGCAGCCCTGGTTTTGGTGTAATGGCACGTGATTTAAGGTTATGGCAGTTTAATTAATAGACTAATAGCCGGAACTTTGGCTGGTTAAAGCTCACAGCTGTGAGTGCCTCTACCCCTCTCTTTTTGCCTCTCTATATCTCTTTCCCCCAACAGCTGCGCTCGTGTGCTGCCAGCTCAATCACCCCCTTCTCCTCGTCCCCATACACTACAGCCTTTTGCTTGCCGAGTAGCTGTTCTATGGTAAAGTGACCCGAAATTAACGTTTCGATTGCCAGACAAATTCGGGCGCGCCAAAAATTTGGCAGCCAATTAAAAGAGCCAATATTCTATATATTATATATAGTAGGAACAGATTTCACTAATTACTTTTATGACCCAATTTGTTTGGCAGAGATTTCTGTGCGCTTTTTGTTATAAATTTTACCTTTACTCTGGCCATAAAACGAGCCTCGTTCCCAATGCGTTTCTGCATGCTCAAAGCCGTTCCACATTCACCCATTCCAACGGCTAATCGAAGACAGGCGTTCCAAATTTATTGCTGTCAGCTAGGAGACACTTATAAAGAAGAGAGAGAGAGAGAGAGGTAGGCAGAGAGGAGCAGAGGCGTGTTTCGTCTGCTCCTTTGACCTGTCTGCCTCCCTCGCTCTTTTCACCGTTTCTGTAACTTTTGCAGTTGTTGTTGTTGGGACTCTTGTCTTTTTTTATTTCGGAGTCTTATTTTATGCTCCAGGCACAGCAAACAAGTTTCTTGTGTTCCGTTTTCCGTTTCTTCGCTGCCTGTTGGCAACAATAATACAACAAGCAAGACAGAGAGAAAGAGAGAGCGAACAAACAGTCACCGTCAGCTGCTTTGCTGCAGAACTTGTTGGGGCTGCGCTTGTTGCTTACTTTGTTTTAAACTTTACAAATACAAAAAATTACTTTAAAATAAATCATTTTAAAAATTCGCAACATGCTTTGACGTCATTGGTATTAGCCACTCAGTCGAGGTCTGTCGCAAAATTGACATTCATTGCCGGACTAAACATAAAATTGTGTTCGGTTTGTTTGATTTAAATTTGTAATAAGCTGCGTTTTTAGCATTAGCAAAAAATTGCCCTCTTTGAATATAAATAATTTCCCAAAGGCAACGTATAAGATATAAACATCTTATACAATATCAACATACGTTCCATACGATGCTATACCCGTTTTTATCCACACCACAAACAACAACAAGATGCTTAAAGAACGGAAGCATGAAACTGCGGGCATTGCATTGCATGGCAGTGCAAGCGAGCTAGCAGTAATGACGCCAACACGTTGTGTCGCTATCTCACACTGCTTTATCCGAAGAGGCGAATTCGCCGCATACAATAAGCAAAACAAACTACAACTCTCCAGCGAATCGCAGCGAATGTTTATTTGTTGCACACAACGACTGTTGAGTGGGTGGTTGGAACGGAGAGCAAGGCTCAAATGAGTAGCATTTCGCAATGGTCGTTCCACATGGCGATCCCAACACCGAGAAGAAAAGAGAGAGCGACTTAATATCTTGCACTCTTGTTTTGGTTTTATGCTTACCGCAAAAAATCATATTCTATTCAGAGAGGCCGACAGAGAGAGAGAGAGAGAGAGAGAGCTTGCCAAGCGAATTGAATGCCATGCTTTCCGGCATCGCTAGTTGTCAGTTTGGTTCCGACCGTTACAACGTGAAGTTCAGCGCACGGTGAATTTTGTGCGTCGTATTGTCGTCGTCGCCGTCGTTGTTTACAGTTGTTTTGTTACACAGCGCGTCGTCGTTAACGTCGTTTCTTTTTTTGTGGTCGTACCACATAAAATTCTGCTACTTGGGGGAAAAGTGCCGTTAAAGGCTCGAAAGGCGGCAAATTAAAAGCAAACAAAATCCATTTTGTTTGGGTTTTTTGGGGCAAAAGATTAAAGTAAATCCTTAAATTTGTCATTGAGTTTTCAAATGCAACAAATTGTTGTTACTTTTCATTTTCTCAATTTGTTTATAATAATTGAAAAGAGATTGAGAAAAAGTGTTCTTTTAATTAAAGTGCGATAGCGCTTGGCGTTTTGCATGAGCAATATTCAATTACGTGTTAAATTGCAATAACAACAGAAACAACAACAACAAAAGCTGCCCTTGTGATGCATGCAAATTAATTATAATAAATAAGTGTTCCTATAATATAAATGTATGCGTATACAAAAATTTATAAACCAACAAATGTCTAAAACGATTTTGCTATTTTTTTTTTTTTTATTAATTATAAGTTAACCTAATGAAAATTGATTACAAAAACAATGCATTTTTTAATACACAATTATAATTTAATAAATAAATTAGCATAGCCGCAGGACAAGCTTTGATTATAAACACTTAATTAAAATGAACTCTTAAATAACGAAATTATAATGAGACAAAAAAAAATAAAATAGGAAGTTTTTCCGTTACTCTGAAGTTTCAATGTCATAAATTAGAAGAGTTGTGCTCTTGTTTTTTTTTTATCGAATTTGCGATAAGAAATCGTTGAAGAAGAAGAAGCAGCTGCTCGCAGCATACGATTCTTAGAAACTGTTGTAGATTGTAATTAAATATGCAGGGCTGCCACAAAAATTCTACGAAAGAACAAAGACGAAAACATGTGATAAATTAACCAAGAAACTTGGAGAATGTGCTGCATAAGATTTTTACAAAACGCTGCCGAAGATTGTATAAGAAGCAAAGCTGTATAAGAGAAAGAGTAGCTTACGCTCCAAATCTAGATAAATTTTCAAGTTCATACGAAAATTGGATTAAAGAAAAAGAAATGCAAATAAAGCACGCTGTTTGGTGCGTAGCTTGAATAAATTTTATTTAAAAATTCAAATAAATCAAGCTGCCTTTGTGAGTTTGTGTGTGCGTGTGTGTGTATGTGTGAGCGAGACTGTGAAACGCATTAATAAATTAAACAATTATTTTGCGCTCTTGTTTTAGAGTCAACAAACGCGGCAGCTTATCCGAAACTGAGCTTCAATATAAAGGCAGCAACAACAGCAGCAGCAAAAGAAATGCGAGCAAAAACAAAGCGCGCTAAATGTGAGAACAAAGCGTTATAAAAGACGCGGGCGGTTGTTCGTCACTGTTGCTCTCGCAGCTTAGTCTTATCCACCAGCCTATGGTTGTTGTTGTACAACTGCACGCGTCGGAAATGATTACGTTGGTTGTATGGAAGGGATGTGGGGAAGGGGGGACAAGGCAAGGCGGTTAGCGGCATTTGAGTCTTCGTCATAGCCATCGTCATCGACTCATGTTGCATATGGGTCTCATGTGTGTTGCATACCCAGCAGCCAGCCGTCTGAGACAGTTGGAATTTACCCCAACCGTTTGCCAAGCGGCGAAAATGGTTGAGCTCACATCTCTCTCTCTTTTTTACTCTCTCACTGAGTGCGCTGAAATGTGGTTGTCCTGGTGAGAGCGAGTTTGTCTGAGTTTTTCGGCGAACTTGCAACTTTTGCGCTGCTCTTCGCTTTGGGCAGCGCTTCAGCGCTCCTGTGATTTCAGTTGACAAAAGTTCCTTGCGCCGTACGGACCTTCAATTCTTGACGTTTATCGTAATTGCTGTCGTAATATCGTCACGCGCTGTTACTTTAGTCGAGCCGTCTTTGTGTACGTGCGAGTGAAAGAGTGACTCAAGTATATATGTATATATGTTTGTATGTACATAAGTGGGGAGACAGAGAGCCGCGTAAGCTGCTGCTGCCGCTGGCTTTTTTTTTTTTTTTTTTTGGTAGTTTAGTTGGTGGCACCACACACATTCAGTTGTATGCGGCGAATTCAATGACGTCGCAAATATATTGCTGAGCGTCTTTTGCTTTTGTGTGTTTTTAGTGTTTTAATGCAGGGAAATCAATAGAATTTATATAAATAAAACAAAATCCAGCTTCTATTAAAATTGCAATTCATATAAATTGTTTAATTCTCAAGAATCTAGCCATAGGAGATTTAATTTCATATACATACATACATAAATGCAAAAGTTTGTTTATCAAAACGCAATAACAGCAAAAGCAGCCGCATACAAAGGCAATTTATTTTTTTTAACGCAACACACGCACATCAATGTGTACACGCCAATACAATCAGAATTTGCCGCTGTATGCGTGAAAAAAGCCGGCAATGTCAAGCGAATGCGACGCAAAGAGCAAGACCAGAATCAGAAATCGGCAGCAACAAACATACTAACGAAAGTAAAAGCAAAAAAGAAAAGAAGAGGCAGAAAAGCAGTAGAGCAGCAGCAGCAACAACAAAAGCAAACTAAGAAATTAAAACAAAACTAGTTGATGATTGTTTAACGGGCAGATACTTGACAGTCGCAGCAAGCGATTGACAGAGCGAGAGAGAGAGAGAGAGAGAGAGAAACAGCAAAAGAGATATGTAGAAATGGAAAACGCAAAAACAAGAAAGAGCATCATAGAATAAGAAAGAAAACATGTGCTTGTGCCAAGATTTACCATATTAAAGAGATCTTTTGGGGGAAAATATGGAACATTTTTGATTAAGCTAAGCTTAGTTATGCAAATTAGCCTTCAGTTAAGCTCTTTTATCGTTTATTTTTAAGAAACATTTACCGTTTTTTATTTTATTTATTAAAAAAAAAAAGCATTATATGTAATCAAAATATATATTTCTTAAATATTCAGCTAAGTAAATTATATCGGATTTATTGAGGAAGAAAATGTGCTTAACTTAAATTAGTGAGCGAATATTAAAAATTAAAAAGTAAAGATAAAATAAAGAAAATATCAGATACTAAAAAAAAAAAACGAAAAAGGTGAAAGAAATTAACACGCAAAACAAAAATAACAAAAAATAAGTTTTGTGTTTTGTGCCGCGACACGGAAGTGTATTAAAAGCCAGCAAAATTTACCACTATATCAGCTACAACAACAACGACAGAAGCAGCAGCAGCAGCAGCAGCAACAACAACAGCAACAGAATGCTATTCGAGAATCCAGCCGTTGCGGCCAAGCTGCCTTTTCCATATAATGTGCCGCCGCCTCTGCAAGCGGCGGCCGCCGCTGCCGCAGCTGTGCCAAATTTAAGGTAAGAACCAAAAAGAAGTTGAAAAAGTGCCTAAGAAAGAGATAGCAACAACGAAAATAGCTAGAACTCGGTCTCAAGGCCATTTAAGCGTTAATGCGCTTTGTGGTTTGCCATCTCGCATTTTTTTGTATTCTTATTTTTTTCGACTCTTCCCAAATTTCCCTCAGTGGCATATTTATGAAAATTGTGTTGCTTGGCGCCTGATTTTAAATTTCTTATCAGCCACTCAGCGCTACAAAATCCCGAGTCACTCCGCTCGTGCGCCACGGTATTATCCTATAATTTTAATAAGTTACTTGGCTAAATTGCATTCATCTGATGTACCCATTACTGTTTTATATATTCTCATATTTTATATATATGTAAATATATATATTTTTTTGAATTATCGTATTAATATTCATTTAATAGCCACAGTGAAACGCGAGCATAAAAAGTTTAATGGAATATAGAGAGAATTGGGTAAAAGAGGAAGAAAAAACTGTAAATAATCAATATATAATATTATTATATATATAGTAGATATGTAAAATACATAAAATATTTTTATAAAATATATACTTTTTAAATAGATTTTGTATTATATTAAAAATATTATATTAAAATTTTTATATTATATTAACTCATTAAAAATAATTAAAGATGACAATACACTATTTGTATGAATATGTGTATATCAATATATATTATATATAAAAGAATACTACTCTCAATTTCTTGTGCGACTCACTGTGCACTGAGCAACTTAGACTAACGAGCTCTGTAAGTACTGCTCGTAGGCGGATTTGGCGGGATTATTAATGCACGGCACTTGCCACAACTTGACGTTTATAATGGGCCATTTAGGTCAACGTGAGAGTGTAAACAATGCAGGGACTTGGTTGGCCTGAAGCTCTGGCATTCCAGCTTAAGTTGAGCTTGACTTGCTGCTTTATATATATATATATATATATATCATAAATATTTGTATGTATATATATAAATAAATCGGGTGACGACCGTCTGGCGCCAGGCAATTAAGAGTTAAAGTTTTGTGTTTATTTGTCAATTAGTCTCTTTTGTTTTTGTTGTTTTCAATTATTATTTTTTATTTATAATAATAATTATGCATGCGGCATTTCACACAATGTGATGGAGATCCGAAGGTGTCAAGACAGAAGTTAATATATAATCTATATCAACAATATTATGAGCAGCACATATTTTGCAATAGTCATACATATGCATGTATGTATGTATATTTGTTTTCTTATTGTGTTGCCCAATTGTGCCTGGCACTGACAAAATAATTAAAAAAGTATAATTAAGCTAATTACGCTCGCATTTAATGGCACTGCGGCACAATTAAAGAGCCGACAGCATCCCTCGGTCCCCAGAGTATTTTCTGCTCACATACTCAAGAATTTTACATGCCAACAGAAAAACAATGTACCAAGTCCATTATTATGCCCAGCACACCATACATGGGGTATATCGGACTTGGCCTAAGAACTGAGATTGAACATATGGAATGATTATGTTTGGAAAATTATTTATTTTTCAATCTTCAATTGAAGATTTTCAATCTATTGCAGGGTATCGTTTAGTCGATCACTGCACATTATAACGACCGCTGCATAACACTGACACTGACATAATGAAGAAAATGAGAAGTAAAAATTAAAAGCCAAAACACAAAAAAATGTCTATAAACAAAAATATAAAAATAAAATTTAGGCATGAAAAATAAAAGCAAGCAAGAAATTAAACTCGAACGCTGAATGGTTCCCAGATTCCCCTTCCTTAGACTCAGCCCCAGCCCCAGCCACAGCCCTGGTCGCAGCCAATCCAATACCCTGCAATTTGTTTGACTTGTCAGTGTCAGAGCTCTCTAAAATGCGGCGACCAGCGATGTCTGTTTACTTAGCCCAAAGTCTCCGACGTCTTTCGATATTCTAGGTTTTTTCTTTCTTTCGCTTTCCGTTTGTCGTTGGTTTTCTGTTACGCTTTCTTCTAGTGCAAGTTCAGACAGTTCCCAATAACAGTCCGGGCTATTGCGTATGCCTTTTCGTATTTATAAATGAAACACGCCTTTCTTGTCATTTATTACTGTCACTTTAAATCCAATCAGCGCTTTGTCTATGTTCGGCGTCTGGCTGAGAGCAAGAACAAAATATATATACTATATACATATACACATACATATATATATATATATATCATACTTCATATCCGCCACCAAGTGTCGTGCTGATAATTTTCATTTAAATAAGAAAAACAATGTTGCGTTAAAAATAAATTGGTATTTATTCAAGGCGAGCCGCAAAAGAATAATATTGGAGAGCTTTATGACAGCCAGCTGACAAGGCCGGATAGCTGGGCAGGCGATGATAACTTAAAGTCTAGGATTTAGCACAAGCTTGCTTACTTTAGGCTAAGACCGTCGAGGAGGACTAATTAGTATAAGGCTTTAATGAGATTCTAATTATATGCAGAAGCTGTAAGCTTAATGTGTTGAAGAAATTTAAATTGCGTAAAGCATCGTAGAGAGAGACAGAGAGAGAGAGAGAGAGATAGAGAGACAGAGAGAGAGAGAGAGAGAGAGATAGAGATAGAGATAGAGATAGAGATAGAGATA